AAAAAGATAATAAAAAAGCTTTAAACAAAACAATGGGGCTTGTGTAGTATCAGAGAATATTCAGCACAATCTCTTCTCTGAACCCTTAAGGCATTGCAAGGATGTCCCTTCGTGGGATTCTGCCCCTCCCCAGAGAAAACCAAAGGCTCCCATTAATGCTGCTGCCCTCTGAAGTGCTGAAGAAAGCTTCCTTTCCCTTTCAGCCTGACTTTTCCATCCCCAGGAAGGAGTGCTGGAGAACCACTGTGCCCGCTCGCCTGGCTCTGGCGCATACTCCTTTGCTTGTATCTCTTTCAGCTTCCCTCCCCCTGGGCCCCGGCAGCAAGCACCCCGGAAGCGGCCTTTCATCACTCGGCCTCATTCCCCTCTGCGCACGTTTCTGCGCCTGCAGTGGGAAAGACCCGCGGTCCTATGGCTTCGGCTTCAAGGACAGCTGGGTAGAAGGCCTGACACACTCTCTAATCTGGCTTTATTCCTGCTTAAGTCGATACTGTATTATGATGATTTTCTGGCTCCTTGAATCCGGAAGGGACGATGAGCACAACCAGCCTCTCCAAACTACACAGCACTTTGTGTAGCTGTATTATAATTAGTTGCATAACCATATCTTCCCCACAACAGTGAGAAATTTGAGGAGCAAATCCACACGACTTGAGGCTTCCAGTTACCTAGCACAGTGCTTTGCTCATGGTGCCTATTTTTCAAATGTTTATTGTAAATCTTGACTCAAACAGCAGGAGCAACAGCAGTCATTTTGCAGCCATGAGATGACAAGCATAAAAGAAAGGCCATGAGAATCAGAGAGAAGCTGGCTCCTACATTTCTGAGTCAATGGACCAATGCTAGCAACCACCCACCTCCAGACTTCTTGTTATGTGGGTAAGATAACTTCTGTGTGTTTAGGCCACCAAGCTGAAGTTTTCTATGATTTGCAGCCAAAACAATTCTAACTGTTAAACCATACAAAAGTGTTTGGATTTTATCCTAGATATAATGAGGATCTACTAACAGATTCTAAGAAGTAAAAAGAATTGCATCATCACACCTACATTTTAGAAAGACCGTTTCTCTATAAGACACAGATTGGAGGTTGGTAGACCATGGAAAATGCCATTATGGCAAGGCAGACAAAACCATGAATGAGCTTGAACCAACTCAATGATAGTGGGAGTGAAGTGGAAGGGATGCATTTCAGGGACACTGAAAGGAGAAATGGACCAACCCTAAGCAATTGGATCTGAGCAGTGAAGAAGATAGATCAAAGGCCAAAAATCATATTTCTAGTGTGGGTAATGCTCTAGGTGGTACACAAAAGAAGGAGCATATTTAAACAGAAGGACAATTCCAGGCAAGGCTGAATTTGAAATACATATGGCACAGCTAAGTGGTAATGTTCAGGGCATTTAGATACTCAGCTAGGAAGGTCAGAAAAGAGTAGGGCGATGTTAATTTTATATATATATATATATATATATATATATATATATATATAATTTTAATTTCAATAAAATAGCATTACGTATTACAAAAGTAGTATCAATGAAGTATAAAATACTTAAAAATACTTAAAAATATAGCTAAGCAAAAGAGAATTAAAAATTCACAGACACATATTCATACATATCTCAGCATCCAGATATAGTTTGGAGTAAAATGTGGTTACATATACATATGAATACATACACATAAATGGGATTATACTGCATATACTGTGTGGCAACAGGGTTTGTTTACTTAACAACACATCATAAACATTTTTGTACTTCAATTAATATTCACATATTTATATATATATTTTTTTACTATTATAAACAGTTCTGAAATAAATTATCTTCATAGTAAAATTTTGGCCCATTTTCCTAATATGGAGCTGGGGAATCATGCTCCCTGACTTCAGACCGTACTACAGAGCTACAGTAATCAAAGCAGTGTGGTACTGACAAAAAACAGACACATAGATCAATGGAACAGGATAGAAAGTCCAGAAGGAAACCCATGCACTTATGGTCAATTAATTTATGACAAAGGAGGCAAGAATATACAATGGGGAAAACACATTCTCTTCAATAAGTGGTGCTTGGAAAACTGGACAGCTACCCGTAGAAGACTGCAATTAGAACATTCTCTAACAACATATACAAAAATAAACTCAAAATGGATTAAAGACCTAAATGTAAGACCAGATACTATAAAACTCCTAGAGGAAAACATAGGCAGAACACTTGTGGACATAAATCACAGCAATATATGTTTTGAACCAGCTCTGGGAGCAATGGAAATAAAAGCAAAAATAAACAAATGGGATCTAATTAGACTTAAAAGCTTTTGCGCAGCTAAGAACACCATCAACAAAACAAAAAGACAACCTACAGAATGGGAGAAAATATTTGCAAATGATGCGACCAACAAGGGACTAATTTCCAAAATATACAAACAACTTATACACCTTAATATCAAAGAAATAGGCAATCCAATCAAAAAATGGGCTGAAGACCGAAACAAACATTTCTCCAATGAAGACATACAAATGGCCAATGGCACATGAAAAAACACTCAGCATTGCTAACTGTCAGAGAAATATAGATCAAAACTACCATGAGATGTCACCTCACAGCAGCCAGAATGGCCATCATTAAAAAGTCTGCAAATGATAGATGCTGTAGAGGGTGTGGAGAAAAGAGAACCCTCCTACACTGCTGGCAAGAATGCAGTTTGGTGCAGCCACTGTGGAAAACAGCATGGCGATTCTTCAAAAGACTAGGAACAGACTTACCATATGATCCAGTAATCCCACTCCTGGGCATATATCCAGAAGGAACCCTACTTCAAAAAGACACCTTCACCCCAGTGTTCATAGCAGCACTATTTACAATAGTCAAGACATGGAAACAACCCAAATGTCCATCAACAGATGACTGGATAAAGATGTGGTACATATATACAATGGAACACTACTCAGTCATAAAAAAGATTAAAATAATGCCACTTGCAGCAACTTGGATGGACCACAAGATCATCACTCTAAGTGAAGTGGGCTAGAAAGAGAAAGAAAAATGCCATGTGATATCACTTATATGTGGAATCTAAAAAAATAAAAAAATTAGGACACAAATGAACTACTTATTATTTATAACTTAGATGATTGATTTCTTGAATATGTATAATCACATTTGACTGTCCTTTATGATTGGATCACCACATTCTGTGGATTCTTATTTTGTGATTGGCTTTATTCCTTTGATAACTATGTAAGTTTAAAAAGCTAAAGCTCTAATCTGTTCTTAGAAACAATGGTCAACACATATATGTAAACTAAAAAAAATGCAGTGTATTATATATGTGTATTTACATGTAATATAATGTGTATGTGCAGTCAAACTGCAATAATCCTACCTAATACACCTGAAAAAGGGAAAAAAAAGATCATAAAACAAATGATAAACACCAGGACACTCAGTTAGTTCATTCAGTGACCACAACTGAGGCTCATGCTGGCCAAAATGGAAAGCCACCAGGTACTTCCTGTGCCAAGTCAAGCTCCAAAGCCCACTAGCCTGTTTGCTCTTACCCGAGATATTTCCCTTCAACAGCTTATTTGCAACTTTCATGTGAAGCCTTGGAAACTCCAGACCCTCCCTGCCACATCTCACTTCATTTTGGGGGTGTCTTCACTATAGAGTTGAGGGATCAGCATGTGAAAACATGATACCAGAGTTTCAAACATCTCTTTTCCAGACCCAGTGTCCTTTCTCCCCGGAATAGTCACTATTCTGCTTGAACGAGCAGAACGGAGACTCCTCTGGTGTGTGGGTGCACAGGTAAGAAGGCCCCAGGCACTGAACTTCCCTGGGGAAGTAGGGAGTTGACTGATGACTTGAGCCTTTGCTGATCTGAGAAGGAAGAACCCTGGACTCGAGGCATGTGAAGACGACATGCTGCATCTTGTCAACCACAGAGGAGCCAGCCAAACTCTTAAGAAGTCTTCCTTCCTAAAATCAGGTTGCATGTCATGCAAGATGCTTTCTCAGCAAGAAGCTATGAGCTTCCTTTATCCTCAATCCTCGCTCAGATTTGCCATTTTAAGTAGAAATAACAAATTTTGCATCTGCACTCTGAAGTCACCACATCCTGACTAGAGAACTAGAAAGTAAAATCAGTCCCAGGGGAAATCTAATCAGAACCTCAGTCTCTTCCGTTTTATAACCAGAAACATCAGGCAAAGTGAAACAAAGCAAAAGCAAACTACCAAAAACTGTAAACTCACTCAAGCAGCAGAAAATTAGTTTAGTCATTCAAACCACTGAGCATTTTCATGTTTTTTATTAATTTCGGTTTTATTGAGGTATATTTTCATGCATTTTTAAATTACTCCGTTTATATGTACAGTACTTGTTCTCAGGAAACGATGTTGAGGATAAAGTCAGCCATCATCCTAAAAGAATACAAGTTTGAACCAAGGGAGGGGCAGCTATCACATTCTCCCAAACTCAGATACTTTCTGTCTCCATGTCTCCCAGAAAGTTATCAGACACCTCACACAGCCCCCTAGGCACAGACTAAACACACACACACACACACACACACACACACACACACACACACACACACACACACACACGCCCTGGGTGGGGCTGAGAACCACAGCACAGAAATAATCAGGCTAAGGACCCTCCATTGTGGCTTTTCATATCACAGTTAAACGCTTAATGACAGAGCCAACAGCAGCCCCAGGCTACTTCACTCACTCACTTAAGCCCAAAAGAAAACCAAACATTTTCAGCAAGACAAAGCATTAGAACCCCGCACTTGCCAAATTAGAGAATGCCAAGCTTAACTTTCAAACCACAGACTTTTCATCTCAAAACTCAGTAACACGGAGCCCCTCCACTATGACTGCACAGCACTTCTCTCCTGGGTATGAGGCCAGGGATGGCCACCCAGGAGATGGCTCTGCCCAGCCCCAGGCTTCAGCCCTGGCCCAGCCGAGACTGGACAGCTACCTGAGACAACGGAATAGGCTGCTAGGATGCTGCTGAGCAAAGCCATGTCCACGTGCTCCGGGATCACCAGCTCCGTGCTGTGGCAGATGGGCAGCCTTGATGCGGCATCCGGAGAAGGCCTCCTGGAGATGCTTCGGCTGGATCAAGGTGGCCACCCTCCCTCTCTTCTCCTCTGTTCGGGAACACAAAGTGAGTGATGAGAACATGTCCTGATTTCCTGAGGCTGTGTTCCAGTAGCCTGGGCTCAAGAACAAAAGCCAGTTCCCTAAATGCCAGCCAACCTTCCCAACTAGGGGACTGCAAAGATCTGGGATCTTACTCTCTTTGCTCCGCAAGGAAGTGACAACTCCTTAAAGCTGTTTTTCCTGGCCTTTCTCCTTTCTCTTGCCCATCTTCTCCCAACGTCCCATTTTGACACTTCTCTCCCTCACCTTCCCTTGATACTTTTTATTTCATTCTGCCTGGTTTTCCTGTAAGGAGCAGCCCATCATCCCTTTATTCTTGCATTTTAACCCCAAGCCACAGCCTGCTCTTCACCTGGCCCTGCTTTTCCCTGTACTGATGGCACTTGTGTACCTTAATCAGCTTGCCTCATCCCACATATCTCCAAATGTGCATCCTTGGCAGTGGCTCAGAGCTGGCTATTCCAGAACTGCCAGCGTGGTTCCAGTTCTAAAATGTCCCAAGACCTTGGGAGCTCAAGCCTGCTCCCTGCCTCCAGCTCCATGACTCCACCTGTGACCCTGGGACTGTGTGATAACACATGCTCTGTCGCTGTCTGCCCATCAAAGGAACTGTATCCCCAGGGTTCAGAACAGGAACTCAGGGTCTCAGTTTTCGGGGGTTTGGCCTCTGGCTGGAGGAGCACATTCTTTCTCCAACTGCTGTCGCTCGGACCCAGCATTATCATCACCCAGTTCATTCAGTGAAGCCCTCAGAGAGCTGAGGATTTCAGGTGGCAAAGATCTTGATGGCTCCTATTCAGTGCCACTCTCGCTGGAGACAGGGGACTGAATCACAGGGTATGGAGGGGTGTCAGGCTGGCGAAAGCCAAAGAAGCAGAGGCTCCCGTCCTTGCAGAAGAAAGAGGTTCTCAGGTGGGCCACAGACACTGGTAACATGGATCACACTGAGACGGCTTGAAGGGCTGCAGTGCCACAGGTGGCCGGAACGGGTCCCAGCAGATAAGACAACTCTCACTTTGGTGGATTCCAATGGGCCTAGGGGAGACCAAAGCAAGGGAAGAAGACCAACCCACAGGTAAGACAGAAATGAGCACACGGTCTCCGGAGGAGCCAGAGGCCCAGAAAGTGGCAGGATGAGGAGTGGGAGCTCGGGGCCTCTGAGAAGGGGCTAGCTCCTGTGACGGACCTGGCACCTCCGGGCCAGAGTATAGGTTCCCTCAACGGCCACTTGAGTTCCCAAAAGGTGACAAGTAGATGATACAGGTGAAGAGTTGGAGCCACCATGCTGAGTTCAGAGACTGTTCTGTAGGTATGAGGATTTCAGGACCCAGGAAGAAAGTGAAGCCACTGGAATATTTGGGTGAGCAGTGGGACAACGCTGTTCCAGGCACATCCCCTCTTATCTACCCCCACTAACCCACCACAGTGCAAGTCTGGGAGTTTTCCAACAGTCTCCAATCTGACGCTTCTGCCAGAACCTCTTCCTATTCAGTTTAGCACCCACTCTCACCAACAGGGTTATCTTTATAAAGTGCCAATCTGACCACTTCACTCCACAGTCCAACACTTCAACTAATCTTCATTAAAATTCTTAACACAACACACATTCACTTCCACAATATCTGACCTCTGTTTTAGCTCCTAATTCATCTCCTACCCAAGTCCACACACATACACATATACATACGCACAGAGATACAAGTACGCCTAATGCTCCAACAATACCAAATTACTTTTAGTTCCCAAATACACTAAGCTCTTTTATCTTTTCATGCTTTTGGTTGTACCCTTCCTTTTGCCTAAATGCTCCTCTTCCTCTTATCTGTCTGACTAATGTTTCCTTTAAAAGAGAATTCAGAAGTTCCACGGTAGTCTCAAAATCCCAAGGGCTTTTTTCCAGAAATAGAAAAATCCATATTAAAACCCATACGGAATATCAAGCAGTACAAATAGCCAAATAATCTTAATTTAAAAAAAAAAGTTAGAAGTCACACTTCTTAACTTCAAAACTTACTACAAAGCTACAGTAATCAAAACAGTATAGTACTTGCATAAAGACAGGTATACGGATAAAATAGAATAAAATAGAAATCACAGAAATAAAACCTTATATACACGGTTAAATGATTTTCAACAAGGGTGCCAAGACCATTCAGTTTGGAAAGGAGAGTCTTGTTGAGAAAACTGGATATTCACATACAAAAGAATGAGGCTGAACCCTTACCTTACATCATATTAAAAAAAATTAACTAAAAATGGGTTAAAGACCTAAATGGAAGAGCTAAAACTATACAACTATTAGAATAAAACATAGGAGAAAAGTCTTGTGACACTGGATTTGGCAATAATTTATTGGATATAACACCAAAATCAAAAGCAACAAAATAAAAATAGATAAGCTGGGCTACATTAAAACTTTAAACTTCTGTGCATCAAAGGAGACAACCAAAAGAGTTACAAGGCAACCCATGGAATGGGAGAAAATATTTGCAAATCATATATCCAATGAGGGGTTAATATTCAGATTATATAAAGAACTCATTCAATTCAACAACAAAAAACACAAAACACAAATGGGCAAAGGACTTGAATAGATATTTTTCCAAAGAAGAGTTATAAATGGCCAATAACTGAGTAAGCACATGAAGAGATGCTCAATATCACTAATAATTAGAGACTAAAATAAAAAAACACCACAAAGCTCATACAACTCAATAACAAACAAACAACCCAATCAAAAAATGGGCAGAAGACCTAAACAAACATTTCTCCAATGATGACATACAAACGGCCAATAGGCACATGAAAAAAGGCTCAATATTGCTAATTATCAGAAAAATGCAAATCACAACTACAATGAAGTTCACCTCACATCAGTCAGAATGGCCATGATTAAAAAGTCCCAAAATGATACATGCTGGAGAGGGTGTGGAGAAAAGGGAACCCTCTTACACTGCCGGTAGGAATGTAGTTTGGTGCAGCCACTGTGGAAAACAGTATGGAGATTCCTCAAAAAACTAAAAACAGACTCACCATATGATCACGCAATCTCACTCCCAGGCATATATCTGGAGAGAACTCTAATTTGAAAAGATACATGCATCCCAATGTTCATAGCAGCACTATATACAATAGCCAAGACATGGAAGGGAAGCAACCTAAATGTCCATTGGCAGATGACTGGATAAAGAAGTTATTATATATATATATATATAAAATGGAATTATATTATTTATATACATAGGAATACTATTCAGCCATAAAAAGGAATAAAATAATGCCATTTGCAGCAATATGGATAGTCTGAGAGATTGTTATACTAATTGAAGTAAGCCAGAAAAAGAAAGAAAAACACCATATGATATCACTTATATGTAAAATCTAAAAAAAAAGAAAAGGTATAAATGAACTTCTTTACAAAACAGAAACAGATTCACAAGCATAGAAAACAAACTTGTGGTTACCAGGAAGAAAGGGGGTAGGGATGGATAAATTGGGAGCTCAGGATATACTAACTACTATGTATAAAATAAATAACAAGTTTATACTGTATAGCACAAGGAACTATATTCAATAGCTTGTAATATTGTAATATGTAATATTACAATATTACAATATGTAAATAATGAAAAAGAATATAAAAAATAATATATATGTATAACTGAATCATTATGCTGTACACCAGAAATTAACATAACATTGTAAATCAACTATACTTCAATTAAAAAAAAACAAGAAAAGATACCACCCCTCATCCATTAGGATGGCTACTACCAAAAAAACAGAACATAACAACTGCTGAGGAGGATTTGGAGAGGAACCCGTGTACGGTTGGTGGGAAGGTAAAGTTGTGGTAGAGGTACTATGGAAAACAGTATGGCATTTCCTCAAAAAATTAAAAATAGAATTACTATATGATCCTGCAAGTCCACCTCTGGGTCTGTATCCAGAACTGAAAGCAGTGACTCAAACAGATATTTATACAGCAGTTATGAAGAAGCATTACTTGCAGCAGTCTAAAGATGGAATCAAACTGCCCCTACACAGATGAATGGATAGACAAAAATGTGGTGTATGCCTCTGATGGAACACTACTCACAGTCTTAAAAAGGAATGAAATTCTGATGCATGCTACAAGGTGGAATAACCTTGGGGACATTATACTAAGTGAAATCAGCCAGTCACAAAAGAACACACATGGTACGATTCCACTTACATGAGGCTCCTACAGCAGCCGACTTCACAGAGACAGGACGCAGAACGGTGGCTGTCGGGGGTGGGAGAAGGGAGGAATGGGAAGTTACTATTTAATGGGTACAGAGTACAAAGTTTCAGTTTTGCAAGGTTGAAAGTGCTCTGGGCGTGGATGGTGGTGATGGCTGCACAACAAAGTAAATGTACTTGATACCACTGATCTGTCCACTTAAAAATGGCTAAAACGGCAAATTTTGTGTATATTTTACCACAATTTAAAACATTAACAATAATAATAAAAGTATAAAGTATTGATGAGGCACAGCAATGAATTTAAAAGGTTACGACCTTCAGAGAATCCTGTAATCAAATACTGATTTTCACTTTACAGGAACGGTAGCAGAATTATGGGATATTAAAATTGAAGCCAAAATGCTCTATGATATCATTTATATGTAGAATCTAAAAAATACAACGAACTAGTGAATATAACAAAAAAGAAGCAGATTCACAGATACAGAGAAGAAACTAGTGGTTACCCGTGTGGAGAGGAAAGGGGGGAGGAGCCACACAGGAGTAAGGAATTAAGAAGCACCAACTATTGCGTACAAAGTAAGCTACAAGGACATATGGTACAAGGGAACAGAACTGATACTTTACAATAACTACAGATGGAGAATAACCTTTAAAAATTGTGAACCCTTATATTGTACATCTGTAATTTATATAATACTGTACATCAACTACACTTCAATAAAAAATT